GATAAGGGCAAGGGCCAATCATCCACTTCTTCCTCGTCGGACAAAAGCAAGCATCGAGACTGCTTCCTATGCGGAGGGCCGCATTGGGCTAGGGAATGCCAAGGACGACAAAGGCTCAATGCCATTATCTCTTCGGGTGGCGAGCCGACGGGAGACGAGGCGCGGAAGGGGTCGTTGCGCATGATGGGGAGTGTTAAGGCTACATTCAAGGCCGAGGGGAGCAGCGATGTTGTCAAGGTAAGCACACTTCCCCGTCCAAAGGGATAGATAATGTTTGTTGAAGAATTAGTAAATGGCAGGGCTTCTAGGGCACTTGTCGATACGGGTGCCTCACACAACTTTATTGCCAAGGAGGAGGCGAGCAAGCTGGGAGTTAAGTATGAAAAGGAGCCAGGCACGCTGAAGACCGTAAATTCTTCACCGGTGCCTATCCTTGGCATTGATAGGAAGGTGCCTCTTTGTTTGGGTGAGGTCGTTCTCATTTGAAAGGGACGGTGCCTATCCTTGGCATTACTAGGAAGGTGCCTCTTTGTTTCGGTGAGGTTGTTCTCATTTGAAAGGGACGGGTTGATGACTATTGTGAAGGACCAAGGAGCATGGTCCGTCCCTATTACTCGGGAGAAGGTCGAGGCTAAGATGATCTCGACCATTCAGCTGGAGAAGGGAGTAAAGAAGGGTCAAGAAACATTCTTGGCCACATTAGTCGAAGACGAACCTTGTGGGAGCGAGGTTCCGACAAAAGTTGCCAGAGTGCTTGAGGAATTTGAAGATGTAATGCCTCCGGAACTACCCAAAAGGCTTCCCCCTAGAAGGTAAGTTGATCACGAGATCGAGCTGGAGCCAGGGGCTAGGCCTCCAGCCATGGCACCCTATCGGATGAAACCACCGGAGCTTGAGGAGTTAAGGAGGCAGCTTAAAGAGTTGCTAGACGCGGGATTCATCAGGCCGTCCAAGGCGCCATATGGAGCACCTGTGCTTTTCCAACGCAAGCACGACGGGAGCTTGTGAATGTGTATCGACTATCGGGCTTTGAATAAGATAACGGTGAAGAACAAATATCCAATCCCGCTGGTCGCTGATCTCTTTGACCGCCTAGGAAAAGCCAGGTACTTTTCGAAACTTGATCTCAGGTCGGGATATTGGCAAGTACGCATCGCCGAATGCGACGAGCCTAAAACGACGTGCGTTACTCGCTACGGGTCTTTTGAATTTTTGGTGATGCCTTTGGCCTCACCAACGCCCCGACCATATTTTGCACATTGATGAATAGAATTTTCCATCCATTTCTTGATAAATTTGTCGTCGTCCATCTCGACGATATCGTCGTGTATAGCGATGATTTAACAAGCGACTTGGAGCATTTTAGACAGGTGTTCCAGGTACTTGGAGCATTTGAGACAGGCGGTTCATCAAGAGTTGTTCAGCACGGGCAGCACCACTGACTGATCTCTTGAAGAAGAAGGTGCAATGGTGCTGGAACGATAAGTGCCAGGCAGCTTTCGATAACTTGAAAAAGGCAGTCACCGCAGAACCTGTCTCGGCCTTGCCAGATTACTCTAAGCCATCTGATTTTGCTATTGGAGGGGTTCTCATGCAAGAGGGGCATCCAATTGCCTATGAGTCTCGCAAGCTGAATGACACTGAGAAGAGATATCCGGTGCATGATAAAGAGATGACGGCGATCATTCATTGCTTGCGCATATGGAGACACTATCTCTTGGGGAGTCGGTTCACCATCATGACCGACAACGTGGCGACAAGCTATTTTCAAAATCAGAAGAAGCTCAACCCCAAGCTGTAACACCCCAATAATTCTCCCTTTTCCAAACCACTTGCTTTAAATAAAATAGTAGAGAACCATTGACGTGCTACCGCCACGTGTTAAAACGTTAAGGCTTTATCAAAGTATCGCAGCGGAAAATCAAACTTAAGTCATTAAAATAGCATAGTTTAGAAAACGAATAAGTCAAAGCTTACAAATTAGAACCATAAAGGACCTTATTTAAAACCAAATCAATATTCAAATCCCAAAACATAAATGAAATAGCAAAGCATAAACAAGTTCGACACAAAGAACAAATACGCTCAATCACACCATCCCTTGACAATGCGATTGTCAAATCCCTGAACTTCACATCATCAAGCTAACCTGTGCAATACTGCTCCCCAATAATACAAGTGTAATAATTGGATCATCATAGGGTCAATGAAAGGCGAAGGCCATGATCAAAAGAAAGACACACACAAAAGCACGCAATCAGCAAAGCTGAGTACATACAAGCTACAACGTACAAAACCTAACATGCTCAACAAATTAAAGTAAATAAACATACCATACGAATTCATTAATCAAGACTCTACACTTAAACAATTCAATTGACTTAACATACTTACTAACTAATTCCAAACACTTGACTCTTTATATATAATTTAATTAATTTAATTTGTTTAGTTTGGAGTAAGCAATAGACGAGGTTGTCCAATCCACCAAATCATTTTGGTCCCAAATGACCATTTTGAAATAAAAGTTTAGCGCGATGCAAGAATGGGCGCGACTCCATTCTCACAAAGTTAGTCTACGATCCCATCTAACTTTCATTATAAAATAAAATGTAAATACCAAAAGAGAAGAGGACATGTTGATCAAACAAGCCTCGAAAAGCCACGGGCTACCACCGTGTACTCCAACCCATAATTGTCAATACTCTAGAAGTTCACGCTTTCCAGAGTTTTATTGCTCATCCATGTTTCACTTTACGTGATTACAATTTTAATTAATAGCCGACTCATTCAAGAAGACCATACATAACGATCATACATCAATTCACTTTTAATCTTATTTAGGAAAATGGTGATCACATCACAAGTTGACCTTTAATTCCATTAAACTTCCAAATTATTCAAAATTGTTGAACATAGTCAACCCACCTAGCCATTTCGGCTTAATAATATACCTTTACTCAACATACTAACAAGTCATGATTGAGTAATAAATAAATAAATAATAACATTGTGGAATAACTAATAAATTCATTCCAATTAAACCATTCAATTCCAATCCTTTAATAATCCAAATGTGGTTAACAAACCAATCCAGTAAAGTAAGTTTGTATCAACATTCCATACAAACAATTAATCCAATATAATTCAACATACTTGCATCCATAATTCCATACAAGCATATTTAATTTACCAAAACATGCCTCATAAACATAAATACATGAATCAATTAAATATATAACCAAACAATTTCCATCCAAGTGTTCTCTAATCATGAAACTAAGCTGTTTCCTTTTGGTACCTAAACATGATACTACTTACAATGAAATAGACATGTACGTACCTCGTGTAAATAATCCTTTGCGCCACTTTTAATTACTTAAAAGTCTCCTAGAGAAAAAATCACCTCCTAGAAAACAACCAATAATCACAAATTAATACTTACAAAAATTTCCAGTAATATAATTTACATTAAAAGTCCTTAAAACTTCCTTTAAAACATGTTTTTATGGTTAATTGATCAATAGAAATTGACTAGGAACAAAAGCCCCAAATTAATTAGTCATAAGAACCCTAAAATTTCAATTTCAATAAATTGAAACCCTAGGTTTTATAATCACAAAATCTGAAAATTTATAACATAATTAAAATCTGAAATTTATAGTCTTTTACCATCAAAATATAGATTTGATACTAATTTAATCAATTTCAAACAATCATAACTAAAACCCAAAACAAAAGTAATAATTTTGAAGCAAAATATAAGAAAACAAAGGAGGAAGAAGGGGGGAAAGGTGGCTGCGGTGGAAGGCGCCGGCTGGGTGGTCGCCGGCGACCTGGTGGCGGCGGCAGGGAGGCCCGCCGGTGGTGGCAGCAGCCATGAACAGGGGCAACAACAATGGTGTGAGTGAGGACTTCCTCACGTAGGAAAGGAGGAAAAAAAAAAGAAAGAAAAGAAAGAAAAAAAAAAAGAAAAATAAAATAAAGGAGAAAGAAAATTAGACTATCCTTTTGTGTGAGGAAAATTTTGAGGACGTATGGGGTATTTATAAAAGAGAGAGTTGTAGGGTAAGTAGGAGTATTGGGCCTCACAAAAAAAATAATGGGCCAATTAGATAAATGAAATGGACTAGCTTTGTTTAATATGTATGGCATAAATTGTAGAATGGACAATTAAAAATCCTTTTAGAACAAATTCAATTATCAACCCAAAAATAATTTGGAGCTTTAAAACTTAAATCCCGGAAAAACACACATAAATATTATAAATAAAATAAAAATTCATTTATAATATTTTTAAAAATACGGGGGATTACAATCTACCCCTCTTAAAAGAAGTTTCGTCCCGAAACTTAGCACGAAATCCCTTAAATTGCAAAACATTTGCATAAAACCTTTTCAAAATTATCAAAATTATGTTGCAGGAATTCCATTTGTGTCACAATATCGACACTAATACCTTATCACCATCCCAATTTACGCACTTCAGTAGATGCGTAAACAAATAAAATAGCTATGAAAACCATTAAAACACCATAAAATAGCATAAAATAGGGCAAAAAGCGCGAAATTATACGCATTCTACCCCCCTTAAAGAACAAGAGTTACGCCCTCGTAACTCACCTCATTAAATAACTTAGGTTGTCTCTTAAATATCTTGGTGCACCTCACAACCTTACTAGTAGGCAAACTACTCAGTAAGTCAATCGAATTTGGTTCAACTAGTCCAAATGGTTTCACTACAACAGAACTAGAAATAAAATATTAGGTGGCTCTAGAGTCAAACAAAGCTTTAACATAAATAGATGAAAAGAAAAGTTACCAGTGTCAAAAGACCTTTCAGCTTCCGTTTTGCTCATCACAAACAACCGATCTGGAGTGACATTCTTTCCTTGATTTCCGGAGTTGTTGTTGCCAACATTTCCGTTCTTTCCATTCCCATTATGGCCATTCAAATTCCCTCCTTGGTTGCTTGTTGAAGTCAACTTGTTCCCATTCCCTTATTGCTTTAATTTGGAGAAACACTCAAACTCCCTATGGCCCTTTTTGTTACAGAATCTACACACAACCAAGTTCCCATCACAATCCTTTCCAGGATAATCCTTGACACATCTCTTGCAGTTGTAATGCCTCTCAACTTTGCCATTAGTTCTAGATGACCCTCCATTGTTCTGAACATTCCTATTTTGGAAATTCTCGTTCCTTGGCTTCTTGGAGTTACCTTGGTGACTCGAATTCCCAAAATCCTTACGCTTTTCTCCAACACTTCCACTCTCAGGTGCACTCCTGACATTCAGACCGTACAAGTGCGCTGCTCTCCCATAAACCTTATCAAGGGTCTTAAATATCTTTCCAGCCAAGTCCTTCTGCAACTATTTAGTCAAAACTTGCTCAAATCTTTGAGCCTTCAACTCCTCAGTAGGCACTACCTCAGGAGCAAACCTCGACAAGTTCATAAACTTGTTATAGTACTCAGTAATCGACATATTGTTCATTTGCAGATTGATGAACTCTTGAGCCTTTTGTTTCCTTAAGAATGGTGGATAGAATTTTTCCCTAAGTTTGGTTTTGAAAACCTCCCAACCAAAATTAGCCTCAGCACGAAGCACATCTCCACTATCCCTCCACCAAATATCTGCCTCTTCCTTCAAATACATGGCAGCTTGATCTACTCTCATATTCTCAGGGCAATTCAAAGCAGCAAAAATCTTATCAAACTCCCTAATCCAATTCTCTAGAAAAGTTGGGTCTCTACCTCCCTCAAAGTATGGTGGCTTGACTTGAGAAAGTTTCTTAAACATCTCACCCGCAGGATCAGGATTATCATTGCGGTTTTGGTTCAAGTTCTCAGTTAGCAGCCTAATAGCAGCAGCTAAAGCATCGTTGTTAGCCATCCTCCTTCTCTACCTAGAAATGTAATACACTCTTAGGCCGACATCAACACGAAAGAACTCTACTTGTTCAATAAATCATATTCACGATCATTAAATATATATTAAGGTAGAAAGGTGGACACGACCACACAATCGCCCCTAATAAGTAACTTTTAAAGGAAATGATTATTTAATTTTAATCATTCCTACGCACGCGAAAAATAAAATAAAAAAAATAATTCCCTTGTTTTAACTCCCACCAAAATCGAAGCATTAAGCAATCAAACAAACACCTAATAATAGACACATAATTACATGTTTCACATAAACAAATCATGTAAACGTTTCACATTGCATAAAGAATCTCATTCCATTCCATATACATGCTTTAATCCTTAAACATGATACTAAGTGATCACTCAAGTTTGCACCATTACATGAAACATACATAAATTAAATAACTTGCATGATGACTTCATACATAAATAAAATAAAGCATTAAGAAATTAGTTACAATGCATACAAAAATAAATAATCTATTCTATAAGCCCTTCCTTATGCTACCCAAATCTCACCGATAAATAAAATAAGCACACAAGTTAGGAATAAATTAAATAATTAAATTCATTTTATTTCAAAATAACTAAATAATTCAAAATAAATAAAACAATATTTTTTTTTCTTATAAATGCCGAAACAATTATATTAGAATAGAATTTTTTTTTTTGAAAACCTAAGTTAACTTTAAATAAGGTGGTAAATAAACTCATTAGATTTAAAACATTAGGCGCCTAAAAACTTTAAACTGAATTTAGTGGTAATTAAATCGAACCTAAGCTCCCAGATACCACTTTGTAACACCCCAATAATTCTCCCTTTTCCAAACCACTTGCTTTAAATAAAATAGTGGAGAACCTTTGACGTGCTACCGCCACGTGTCAAAACGTTAAGGCTTTATCAAAGTATCGCAGCGGAAAATCAAACTTAAGTCTTTAAAATAACATAGTTTAGAAAACGAATAAGTCAAAGCTTACAAATTGGAACCATAAAGGCCCTTATTTAAAACCAAATCAATATTCAAATCCCAAAACATAAATGAAATAGCAAAGCATAAACAAGTTCGACACAAAGAACGATTACGCTCAATCACACCATCCCTTGACAATGCGATTGTCAAATCCCTGAACTTCACATCATCAAGCTAACCTGTGCAATACTGCTCCCCAATAATACAAGTGTAATAATTGGATCATCACAGGGTCATTGAAAGGCGAAGGCCATGACCAAAAAAAAGGCACACACAAAAGCACGCAATCAGAAAAGCTGAGTAAATACAAGCTACAACGCACAAAACCTAACATGATCAACTAATTAAAGTAAATAAACATACCATACGAATTCATTAATCAAGACTCTACACTTAAACAATTCAATTGACTTAACATACTTACTAACTAATTCCAAACACTTGACTCTTTATATATAATTTAATTAATTTAATTTGTTTAGTTTGGAGTAAGCAATATACGAGGTTGTCCAATTCACCAAATCATTTTGGTCCCAAATGACCATTTGAAATAAAAGTTTAGCGCGATGCAAGAATGGGCGCGACTCCATTCTCACAAAGTTAGTCTAGGATCCCATCTAACTTTCATTATAAAATAAAATGTAAATACCAAAAGAGAAGAGGACATGTTGATCAAACAAGCCTCGAAAAGCCACGGGCTACCACCGTGTACCCCAACCCATAATTGTCAATACTCTAGAAGTGCACGCTTTCCAGAGTTTTATTGCTCATCCATGTTTCACTTTACGTGATTACAATTTTAATTAATAGCCGACTCATTCAAGAAGACCATACATAACGATCATACATCAATTAACTTTTAATCTTATTTAGGACAATGGTGATCACATCACAAGTTGACCTTTAATTCCATTAAACTTCCAAATTATTCAAAATTGTTGAACATAGTCAACCCACCTAGCCATTTTGGCTTAATAATCCACCTTTACTCAACATACTAACAAGTCATGATTGAGTAATAAATAAATAATAACATTGTGGAATAACTAATAAATTCATTCCCCTTAAACCATTCAATTCCAATCCTTTAATAATCCAAATGTGGTTAACAAACCAATCCAATAAAATATGTTTGTATCAACATTCCATACAAACAATTAATCCAATATAATTCAACATACTTGCATCCATAATTCCATAGTAACATATTTAATTTACCAAAACATGCCTCATAAACATAAATACATGAATTAATTAAATATATAACCAAACACTTTCCATCCAAGTGTTCTCTAATCATGAAACTAAGCTATTTCCTTTTGGTACCTAAACATGATACTACTTACAATGAAGTAGACATGTACGTACCTCGTGTAAACAATCCTTTGCGCCACTTTTAATTACTTAAAAGTCTCCTAGAGAAAAAATCACCTCCTAGAAAACAACCAATAATCACAAATTAATACTTACAAAAATTTCAAGCAGTATAATTTACATAAAAGTCCTTAAAACTTCCTTTAAAACATGTTTTTATGGTTAATTGATCAATAGAAATTGACTAGGAACAAAAGCCCCAAATTAATTAGTCATAAGAACCCTAAAATTACAATTTCAATAAATTGAAACCCTTGGTTTTATAATCACAAAATCTGAAAATTTATAACATAATTAAAATCTGAAATTTATAGTCTTTTACCATCAAAATATAGATTTGATACTAATTTAATCAATTTCAAACAATCATAACTAAAACCCAAAACAAAAGTAATAATTTTGAAGCAAAATATAAGAAAACAAAGGAGGAAGAAGGGGGGAAAGGTGGCTGCGGTGGAAGGCGCCGGCTGGGTGGTCGCCGGCGACCTGGTGGCGGCGGCAGGGAGGCCCGCCGGTGGTGGCAGCAGCCATGAACAGGGGCAACAACAATGGTGTGAGTGAGGACTTCCTCACGTAGGAAAGGAGGAAAAAAAAAGAAAGAAAAGAAAGAAAAAAAAAAGAAAAAAAAAAATAAAGGAGAAAGAAAATTAGACTATCCTTTTGTGTGAGGAAAATTTTGAGGACGTATGGGGTATTTATAAAAGAGAGAGTTGTAGGGTAAGTAGGAGTATTGGGCCTCACAAAAAAAATAATGGGCCAATTAGATAAATGAAATGGACTAGCTTTGTTTAATATGTATGGCATAAATTGTAGAATGGACAATTAAAAATCCTTTTAGAACAAATTCAATTATCAACCCAAAAATAATTTGGAGCTTTAAAACTTAAATCCCGGAAAAACACACATAAATATTATACTACCTCCGTTTCTTATTAGTTGCAACTTTGGGGTATTATTTGTGAGATATAAAATATTCCAAAGTTGCAACTAATACGAAACAGAGGTAGTAAATAAAATAAAAATTCATTTATAATATTTTTATAAATATGGGGGATTACACAAGCAAGCTCGGTGGCAAGACTTCCTGGCCGATTTTGACTATGTTATGGAGTACAAGCCAGGAAGGGTCAATGTGGTTGCTGATGCTCTTAGCCGCAAGGCCATTTTTGCTAGTGCTAGCAGTGTCGCTAGCAACATCATTGGTCGGATCAAGGATGGTTTGGAGCATGATTCAATGGCCAAGGGGCTCGTTGACTTGGCCAAGGAAGGGAAGACCCGACGGTTTTGGGTAGAGGACGGGTACTTTACACCGTCGAAAGGTGTATCTACGTGCCTAAGTGGGACAACCTTAGGCACGATGTACTTAAGGAGTGTCATGATTCTCTATGGGCGGGACACCCAGGAATCCAACGTACCATGGCTCTCTTGGAGGAGATCTATTATTGGCCTCATATGCGGGATGATATTGAGGCCTATGTCAAGACTTGTCTTGTGTTTCGACAAGACAAGGTGGAGCAACGGGTGCCGGCAGGTCTATTGCAGCCGTTACCAGTTTCGGAGAGGCCTTGGGAAAGCGTCTCAATGGATTTCGTATCAGCCTTACCCAAGTCAGATGGGTGCGGCTCAATAATGGTGGTCGTGGATCGCTTTTCCAAATATGGCACCTTTATCCCGACACCGAAGGATTGCACCGCGGAGCAAGCCGCTAAGCTATTCTTCAAGAATGTGTGAAGTATTGGGGCTTACCGCGGAGCAAAATCAGTGATAGAGACCCAAGGTTCACCGCCAAGTTCTGGACGAAGTTGTTCAAGCTCCTTGGGTCGGGACTTCATTTCTCAACGAGCTTTCACCCACAATCAGATGAGAAAACGGAAAGGGTGAATGCTCTGCTTGAGTTATATCTAAGACACTATGTGGGTGCCAATCAACAAGATTGGGCAAAGTTCATGGACATAGCCCAATTCTCATTCAATTTACAAAGATCTGAGGCAACGCAGCAAAGTCCTTTTAGATAGTCATGGGCCAACAACCCTTGACGCCACAAGCCGTTGCATCGAGTTACACGGGTAGCAGCCCAGCGGCCTACAAGCTAGCCAAGGGGTGGCACGAGCAATTGGACATCACGAAGGAATATCTTGACAAAGCCGCCAAAAAGATGAAGAAGTGGGCGGACAAGCATAGACGCCCATTGGAGTTCATGGAGGGCGACTTGGTCATGGTTAAGCTACTACCTTAGCAATTTAAAGTCTTCCGCAAGGTGCACAAGGGCCTTGTGCGGAAGTACGAGGGACCTTTCCCGATAATTAAGAAGGTTGGGAAGGTTTCCTATAAGCTTGAGCTACCACCAAAACTTAAAATTCACCAGGTGTTCCATGTAAGTATGCTCAAAAACCTTATCATGAAGATAAGGAGGATCCATCACAGGGTGAGTCACACCGAGAACCAACCGCGGTGGTGACTTCGTTTGAACGGGACATCGAGGTTATTGAGGCCAAGAGGGCCATTAGAAAACAGGGTGTGCCAAGCTATTATGAGTATCTTGTCCGATGGAAAGGGCTCCCGGACAGCGAGGCAACATGGGAGAAAGAGGAGGACCTTTGGCAATTTCGGGACAAGATCT